TTCTCTCTTAAATGCCAAAGATCTTAGGGAATGGGTAGGAGCCACCTCTCATGGTCTATTCAGTTTCCCTCCTGGAGTACGTCCTGTGCCTCTGGAAATACATATTCAGGGTGTAGACATAGCCAATTTTGAAGCAAGAATGCAAGCAATGACGAAACCAACTTAAACTGCAATTGTCCAACATGCCAAAGTTGGAAGCCTGCTATTATATTTGTTCCTACAAGAAAGCATGTCATACTCATTGCTGTGTATCTAATGACTTACTCTAGTGTGGAAAATGAGGAGAGTCCAGCTTTCTGGCTGCGATCCCTTGAAGAACTGATGCCTTTTGTGGGAAAAATCAGTGAACAAACATTGAGAGAAACTCTACCATACGGAGTGGGCTATTTGCATGAGGGTTTGAGCAGTCTAGATCAGGAAGTTGTATTAAAGCTTTTTGAAGCTGGCTAGATCCAGGTCTGTGTTTTGAGCAATTCGCTGTGCTGGGGAGTGCCATCGTCCACACACTTGGTGGTTGTAATAGAACTCAGTACTATGGTGGAAGGGAAAATGCTCGCACTGATTACTTTGTCACAGATCTGTTGTAGATGATAGGTCATACCAGTTGTTCTCTACTGGATAATTCTGGGAAATGTGTCATCCTCTGCCACACCCCTTATGAAGAGTACTACAAGAGGTTCTAACATGAAGCTTTTCCCATGGAAAGTCATTTGCACCATTTCTTATGTGATAACTTTAATGCAGAAGTTGTTGTTGGAGTTATTGAGAGCAAGCAAGATGCTGTGGATTATCTTACATAGACCTTCATGTATGGGAGGCTCACTCAAAATCTAAACTACTACAATCTCCAGGGAGTAAGTCATAGGCATCCATCAGATCATCTTTCAGAACTGGTCGAGATCATACTAAGTTGGGTTTGTTTTTTTAAGTTAAAGGTGGAATTTTAAAATCAAAGTGTGTTATATATGCCAAACCCACTAGAGGAAGTGCTTTCATATGTACTGCCTGCAATTTCCACATGCACCTATGTTGTGCCATGTTGTCTACAGAACTCGACATTCCAGCCCATCCACACACCCTTAGGATCTTACCTGTGGTGCAATATTCATCTAATGGGGACCATGGTTTTTAGTGTGGGGAGTGTAAGAGAAGGAGATCAGGGAGAGTGTACCCTGCACTGTCTGTGACTACCATCTACATGTTTGTGCTAAGACCATGATTAATGGGCTCCAAGCCAATGGCATCAAAGACGTAGAAAAGCCAAGCACGTCGGGGACTGCAGCCAAGGTTGCTTCCAAGGTCATGATAGAGTTCATCAGGGGGCTGATTGAGGGGCTTGGAGAAGGGGTTAAACAAGTTCTCATTCGAAGTGTGACCAGAGAAAGGCACAATATAAAAGCATGATTTCTCTGTACAAATTCATTCAGAGCTGTTTGTGACATATTGCTGGATTCCTACTATTGAAATCGGTATCCATTCATTATTTGTGTTGATAATAATTTGTGGGGAGCTTGTGGTACATATTTTATATGAAGAAGGGAGATGGCATGTCTACTTAACCAAGCCTCATGCCAAAAACATACAAGATTGTACGTAAGCTATGTTCTTTGTATAGTGTATATTTTGGCCTTGGAAAAAAGAATACGAAGTGTGTTTATAATTAAAGTAAGATTTGTTTGAGACTTCATATCTTTGAAAGAAAAACTTGTCCTTTTTGCCTTTTCTCTTGGACATATATCTTAATTTTACTTAAAATGTATCAAAGTGGCAAGAGAAATTTTATATTCAAATGGTGGCAGGCTTTCTTATGAATTTCTCTTCATGACTTATTTAGTGATTTTTTCACATTACTTGCCCTTTCTAGCCAAACTGAAAGAGGCAACTAGTAATTCAACAAGACTAGCTAATCATATTTAATAGAGATCAGTTTTGACCTACTTACATCATACTTATTTAACAAATACCACACTTATCATATGAATACATAAAGAACCAAAAGAACTAAGTGGCAAGGAAAGGCTTCACAAACGCTTAGCATTTTTTAGGCAAATGCTGTAACATTTCAGTAGATGGAAGGACTAGCTAAATGCCAACAGTTGACATACGCTTGATAAATTTCAAATGTTGTGCGAAAAGTATAGATCTCCATTTGCTTCATCTTGGTATTTGAAAATTCATAAAAAGTATATGATGAGGATTCTCTCCCTAACAAGCACTCAGTCTCTTCATTCTCCTGTTGAACCCATAAGTTGTCACCAAGCCTTTTCGGCCTACCAAGCTCCTTGGTGACTTCTTTCATGGTTAACCTTCTTAGGCCAGTACCATTAAGGCATCTCTTCACAAGAGCAGCAACTGCTTCTATACGTTCTTCACATTATTTGCCTTTTCCATGCAAATAGAAGATGCAACTAGTATTATATGCATTAAGTCCAAAAAAAGCATATTTTATAGACATTTTGACCTACTTAAATCAAATTTAGCAAATACAACACTTATATAAACATAGAGAACCAAGAACCAAGTAGCAAGGAAAGCCTTCACAAATGCTCAGCATTTTTTAGGAAAATGTCATGGCTAATCACATATGGAAGATTATAGTAGCAGGAAAGACTAGATGCTAAGAGTTGATGCCTGTTCAATGTCAAATGTTGTGTGCACCGTGTAGGTCTCCATTTGTTCCATCTTGGTATTTGATTCATAATTATATGATGAGGATTCTCCTAGCAAGCACTCAGCTTCTTCATTTTCCTCTTGAGCCCAAAAGTTATCACTAAGCTTTTTTAGCCTTGTAAGCTCCTCCGCAACTTCCTTCATGGTTGGCCTTCTTAGGCCACTACCATTAAGGCATCTCTTCACAAGCTCAGCAACTGCTTCTACTTCCTTCATTTCCTCATCATTCGTTGGCTCAAAATTCAAAACTTGGGCAATGCGACCATCCTCAACAGATAAAATGAAATACTGAATGATGTTTCTCTTCTCCCCATCTCTAACACCTGAAGTAGGCTTCTCCCCAGTTAACAGCTCCACCAAGACGACTCCAAAACTATAAACATCACTCTTTGTTGTCAGATTACCAGTCATTAGGTACTCCGGATCTAAATACCCAAGTGTTCCTTGTATTTTGGAGCCTATTCCAGTTTGATTTGGTGAGATGAGTACAGAAGCCCCAAAATCAGATACTTTGGCTGTGTAATGATCATCCAACAATATGTTCATTGTCTTCACATCACCATGAATGATTGGTGGGTCTGCTAAAGAATGTAAATAGTCAAGTGCAAGCGCAGTCTCTGCAGCAATCCTCAGACGATTCTTCCATGACCTTAAAACTTGTGATCGCTTGCCATGGATATGATGGTAGAGGGTTCCATTTGAAATGAACTCATAAACCAGCAACGGAACTTTGGTCTCCAAACATAAGCCTAAGAGCTTCACAACATTCTTATGGTTAACCTGAGAAACAATGCCGATTTCATGCTGAAATTCCTGGTTTATTCTTGCCTTGTCCACCTCTTTGGCCTTCTTAACAGCAACTTCGATGTTGTCTGCTAAAACTGCCTTGTAAACTGAACCAAAGCCTCCTTCTCCAAGGAATTGACTAGTGTCATAGTTGTTGGTTCCTTTTATTAATTCTGCTTCACTAAAAATCCTGATTCTTTGGTGCTTCAATATCAAACCACCATTTTCTCTAAAATATTTCTCCTTCTTCCTCTTTTGGCAAATAATGAGAATAAAGAGGGTGCTAACCATAACAACAATGATTGCTACAATCACTGCATGTATGCATTTTAAACAAAACAAGATCATCAATCAACTTAGCAACATCTCTCTATATATATATTGAGAAGTGGAAAAGTGCATATTAGTTTTTATTTTTAAAAAAATTAGAATTCTAAGACGTTTTTATTTAATTAAAATTTAATTTAGAATTTAAAAATTTATTTTACTAAATATTAATTAATATTTGAATTTGAAAATTGATTATATATTGTAATTTATGTATCAATATTTAATAAAATAGATATATGAATTTTGAATT